ACGAGCAAGACGGTGGATACGGGACTCGATGAGAATCATGCGGCTGTAGGGGAGAGCGTCAGTCTACCGCACGAGATCCAAGGGGGGATGTACGCACAACTTGGAGTCCTTGTCCCCACGGTTGCGCTCGAGGTGCTTGCGGACAGCGACGGCCTTCTTGATGAGGTGGTAGAGGTCCTCGGGGATGGAAGGAGCAAGACCTGCGAAAGTCGTAGTATCAGCGTTTGCCCACTCGACCACGTCCTATCCGCCTCCGCCCTGTCCGACTTTCTTCCTCCGATATCTCGCCAGCCACCTCCACGCTCCCCGCTTCCTCCCCACCACCATCACAACACCAACAAGCACTCACCGTTGGTCTTCAAGATACGGAGGATCTTGTTACCGGTCACGCTCTTGACCTGGGGGATACCCTGGGAGTCACGGAGGATGACACCGATCTGGGAAGGGGAGAGACCTCGGCGCGCGAGCTTGAAGATCTGGTCGCAGACCTCCTCGGGGGTGGCCTTGGACCACGAAGGCTGCGAGCGGCGGTAGGGGAGAGCGGAGGCAGAGATACCCTTGCCCTTGGAGTGCATTCTGTAATGTCGGTCAGCGTCCCATCCTTTCGACATTTCGACCACCCGCCCGCCAGACTCCCGCCGTCCCGGCTCCCCTGCTCCAAAGAGATTCTCACGCACCGACCCATCTTGACTGTTTTTTCGGTGTGGTGTTAACGGTAAAGATGAAGGGGTGCCGAAGCTTTGTCGAAAATGCTCTGCCGGATTTTGAGGGATGCAGAACTCGAAGTCTTGCACCAGAGGACCGATTTTGGCATTTGTTCGCTCGGCGTTTCGGCATTGGCCACTGCCACGTGGTGTGGCACTACGCGTCTGCTAGTTCTTGCGTCTTTCTGTCAACATCGAGAGACTTTCTTCTCGAGTTGTACAAGTATTCAGCCCAGTTGCATACATAATCGGAATCCCTGCTTCACTATGCGAGCCGTCATCACCATCGCTGCTAGACTCTGGCACTGCTTCAGCTTGGAATACCACGCTCCGCCGCGCCCTCTCCGTTTCCGATCACCTTTCTACCCCATCGGGTCGACGAGACACTCCTCACACGTCTCGCTCTCCTCACCAGTGCTCAGCGACTGCCCTCGTCATCAGCATGTCACTTCAAATCATCCAAACATCTGCGTATCATGCCGTCTCGAGTCAGCAGCGTCCTCCCATCCCGATGATACAGTAGCGCTGCTCCTTTGCACGACCATATCGTGTGATGTGCTTGAGTCGTCAGTGCATCGCTTTACAGCTTTTGCAAAGGCCACAGAGCATGTGTAGGGGAAACGGAGGGCACATGTGATGCATATGCATAGAGGGATTCCAATGGTGTATGCAACGCCAACTCGAGGAGAGTCAAGACGCATAGACGCGTAGTGCCACACCACGTGGCAGTCGCTAACGCCGGAACGCCGAGCGAGAAACAGACGCCAAACTGCGTTGAATTTCAATGGTCTCCGTTTCTTCATCCCTCAAGCCGTGACCGTTAACGCCTTGAGTCCTACCACACAAAATGAAGGTCAACTTCGCCAACCCCGCCACCGGGGCTCAAAAGCTTATCGACTTCGAGGATGACCGCCAGACGTGAGTATCGCCGCGGCGGGATGGACGGAGAAGAGCAAGGAGGGATCGGGATTGGGAGAGAGAGGATTGGCGCAAGGCATCGGTGGGACGGGTGCTGATGGGCGTGATGGTGTAGCCGTGTCTTCCTCGAGAAGAAGATGGGCCAGGAGGTCGCCATCGACTCTCTTGGTGAGGAGTTCGCCGGGTACGTCGTCCGCATCACCGGCGGTAACGACAAGCAGGGTTTCCCTATGAAGCAGGGTGAGTCGCGGTTTTTCACCATGGCATGGGCGATGTGCTGACTGTCCATGTCCAGGTGTTCTCCTCCCCCACCGAACCAGGCTTCTCCTTTCCGACGGCCACTCGTGCTACCGTGCCCGCCGTGACGGTGAGAGGAAGAGGAAGGTGTGTAGAATGGTGTTGTTATGCCCGTTTCGGTGCTGACAGTACCGTTTAGTCCGTCCGTGGCTGCATCGTCGGCAACGACATCGGTGTCCTCGCCGTCGCCATCGTCAAGCAGGGTGCCGCCGACATTGCCGGTCTCACCGACAACGTCCTCCCCAAGCGTCTCGGTCCCAAGAGGGCGACCAAGATCCGCAAGTTCTTCAACTTGTCCAAGGAGGACGACGTGACCAAGTTCGTTGTCCGACGAGAGGTCACCAAGAAGAACGGGAAGACCACCACCAAGGCCCCCAAGATCCAGGTGAGTTGCGCTGCTCGTGTGAGCTTCATGTTCGTTACTGACCCTCCCCCCACAGCGTCTCGTCACCCCCATGCGCCTCCAGAGGAAGCGTCACCTCCGTTCCCTCAAGAAGAGGAGGACCGAGGCCCAGAAGGAGACCATCGCCGACTACCAGGCCGCCCTCTCCAAGCACGCCGAGGAGAGGAAGGTCCAGCACGCTGCCGACAAGGCCGCCAAGAAGGCTCGCAGGTGAGCATTACCCTCACTGCAACTCGGGTTGGGACAGGCGCTGATGTCTGATTGCTGTTTAGGTCCGCTTAAGCGAGTCGTCGAGGTGGTTGTCGGAGGGGTATTGTTTCTTTTACGCTGGCCGGTACTCTCATGCCGATGTACATCATGAGAATCCAAGGACGTTGCTGCAGCACACTGGACGGTGGAGACGGGACTGTGTGGACTAGTCGGCGAGGCATGGCGGGGGATCGTCTCTGTTGGGAGTTGAGGGTTGGGTGCGGTCACGAGAGAAGGGAAGAGGCGTGGTGCTGCGAGACATGTTCAGTTTGTGTGTCGAGTTCACGTCTCCATGTGCGGGGACACTCTGGTCGACTGTTGTCTGTCACATAGCCGGCATAGTTCTGGTCTCGCCTGGGCTTCGCCTGGTCATATTGAAGGTCGATGTTGGCACGCGCGCGTACTCAGGTGAGGAAGTGCATGGTCGTGACGAAATCTATTATGCGGGGTACAAAATGATACACGGCGTGTTGCCTCCTTCGGCGGCTCACCCTCCTCGCGTCTCTGCAGCGCCTTCCCAGCACCCATCGACACCTCACTCGTCTGTCCTCCTGGCTCCTGCATGACGCTTCCTACGATGCGTACTTCGCCACGTACTCCTGTGCCTTCTTGTCGAACGCAGCGCGGTCCGTCCGGTAGATCTCGGCCTAATGACCAGGCGGTAAAGCGCACCAGGTCAGCTACGTTCGCATCTCGCGAAAAGAAAAGCAACGAACGATAGAGGCAACGAGGGGGTCGTCGGGGTTAGGCTCTGCGAGGAGGTTGTAGATGGAGGACAAGACTGTAGTTGACCGGGTCAGAGCGGCTCACATATTCCGGTACGCGCTGTGTGCAAGACCAAGACTCACCGACTTCCATCTTTGTTGCGGGTTTCCACTGCTCCGTTTTCAAAAGGCCGATACAGATGCTGTAAAAAGGCGCGGTCAGTCAGTATCGACGGATGACCCTTCGCTGAGTGACTGGTCTGAATGTCTGTGTGCAGCCGGATGCCGACCGGGTCGCTTATGGCGAACAAGGGGCGCATCAAGGACCATAATGACTCACTTGCCGTCGCTGTCCACATTGGGATGGTACACCTTCGTCTTAAATTGGATCTGCATGAACCCTGTTAGCTACCTGCCGACAGCATATGACAGGGAGTGAGGCCCAACGATGAGGGCCAGGGCAAGACTCACTGTTGGAGGCTTGAAAGGGTACTCCTTCGTGAACTCTGCCGTCACTTGAAACTTCCCCTTTGCATACGGCGTCCCAGGCTACCCAAAAGACACGAAAGACACGATCAGTATGGTACGAACTTCGACGTCTTCACCGACCGGACTGAGGGACACGACACGACCGCCTCGCGGACTCACCGGGCCCACCATGACGATGCGCCACAGCTGCAGATTCTCCTCATCAGGCAGGACGGTGATGTTTGGTGGTGGAGAGTTCATGAGCGACGAGAGCTCCTGCATAGCCGACATCAGTTCAATCCGGTGCTGTGAAGCTGAGCTCAAGCCTTTGATGGGCCGAGACGTGGAAGGAGAACGTACCTTCTGGATCCGGCGGATGGACGTCGACGACATTATGCTGAGGGCTTCATGGATTATGCAGGAGCGGTTTAGTATGCAGTCTAGATTATGCTGTGGCGGTACTGATAGTAGTGGCGAGAGAGAGAATGCATTGGAACGAAGAAGAGTGGACTCCGTCACGTCAGTGCAGAAGAGCTTCGTATCGCGGCCGAACACACCTCCACCTACGACCTTGACCAACGTCGATACTGACCCTGCAAAAAGACCGGCAAACATCAAATAATCACTCTCCGTAGTTTAGTGTGGTTTAGAGCGTCAGACTGTAATTGGTTAACAAATTCATCTGAAAGTCGTGCGTTCGACTCGCACCGGGGAGATTCTCTTTTTAGAGTTCTTTTTGAACTTTCCCCTGACCATTCAGTATCATCATCAGCCCATCGTACGCACGGCGTGGTGGTCCTTCGCCGACATCGCATGCACCAATGCTTGAAGACTGGCAACTCTTCGGGCGCAATGAGGAGAGAGATATATAGTGAGCGCCGCCCATGTGGTGCTGCTTTTTCTTCCCGTTTCACAAAGTTGAATGACCGCCGAGACACGGTGGTGTGCACTCGTGTACATATCACTTCTAGCCCTCTTAGATATGCACACCAAGCAAGTATTCGACTACAGATACTGCACAGGAAGAAGGGATTCAGTCACAATGAACCTATAGAGCGAGTGGCGACTGATACACTGTCATACATGCTGGTATTTCCCCTGGCCTACTGCTGGTTCGTCATGTTGTTGCCCCACGGTGATGGTCTCACATGCGACGGATGCATCCATGGATCAATCATGCACCGTGCGTGATGATACTTATATGCTGTCTGTGTGCATGTGCATGCGGCGATGCCAAAAAGATATGCAAAAAGAGAATCTCCCCGGTGCGAGTCGAACGCACGACTTTCAGATGAATTTGTTAACCAATTACAGTCTGACGCTCTAAACCACACTAAACTACGGAGAGTGATTATTTGATGTTTACGCCTCTCTTTGCAGGGCCATAATGCAAGTGGCATCCACAGTGCCTGTCTGCCATCTTACGACGTTTTGGTGCGCGCGTTCTTTGTTGATGCCATCGAACTGGCCTCAACTGCTTTGTCACTCTATGCTTTGCTAGCAAAGAGACCACTTCTTCCGCAACATCTAGATATGGTGGCAACTCGTAAATCTCGTGGACGGGCAGCTGTGGAGGAAGACCCCGACAGGGTGATCGCTGTGGTGACAGGTGCCAACAGGTGAGCTCTCTGTCCTTCTCATCTTTGGGTAATGTTGCCGGGTGCCTGTTGGCCGCCGAAATGGTTTGAGTAGCAGTTGGAAAGAAGCTGATATCGAGGTGTTATTAGTGGATACGGTCTGGGTATCTGCCAGCAGCTCCTCACCAACCTCTCCCTTCCCTCCGGATACCCTATGCCCGCGTCGATGCCCCAGGCTACGTCGCTCCCTCCTTCCCTCCAGCATCTCCTCAGCTCTTCGTGTGAGGCTGCAGTGTCAGCCTCGAAAGCCGCTCAGCCCAACACGACCCTCACTCTCATTCTCGCTTGTCGCTCAGAGGCAAAAGCGAACATTGCCCGCGAGGCTTTGCTCAAGAGGCATAAGAAGGAGCTGGAGAAGAGGAAGAAGCAGGGTGTGCCGGAGAAGGAGGGGTGGTGGGATGGTCTGAGGATTGTCTGGGAAGGCGTCAATCTGGACAGCGTAGGAGGGGAGAATGGTGTTCTTGCATTCTGCCAGAGGTTGATCGACCGGTGAGTTTCAGCCCTTCCGTCTCGCAGTCTGCAATGTGGAAGCTGGAAGCTGACGAGAGACACGCACAGGTACCCTCATATCACAAGCCTCTTCCTCAATGCTGGGATGGCTGCCTTTACTGGTTTGAGCTACTGGCTGTTCTTCAAGCAGATTGCCCTGGAGGGGATGCCTCTCGCGATGAGCAAGCCCGCTTACAACATCGAGACTCGGGGTGCCAGAAGTGCGGATGGTGAGCGTGGCCTTGTGTGGGGTACCAACGTCCTGGCACCTTATATCATGGTAAGTGATAGACACTGGCGTATGTCTATATACTTACAATGCAACTCCGCCACAGATCCGCGAGCTCGTACCGCTCCTCCGTCGCTCCCCTCCTTCCCTCCCCGTCGCCCCCCGCGTCGTCTACACCTCCTCTGGCACTGCTGCCTACTATAAGCTCAACCAACCGTACCCCCTCGAAGACTACCAGCTCCTCGACTACCACGATACTTACGGCGCGAGCAAGTACGTGGCCGATCTCGTCATGCTGGAGCTGGACCGGGAATACGGGAGCGAGCCCACCGGGGCGGCCAAGACGGGGGAGGAGAGAAGCGTGCGAGTGATGACTGTCGATCCGGGATGTGTCGCGACCAACATCTTTGGAGCGGCGTATGGGAGCCTCGTGTGGTTGGCAAAAATCAAGTGGATGTGCAACTGGCTGGCCTTCTACTTTGTGTGTATATCTCTTCTTTCTGTCCTCGATCTCAATACTGATCCAGTACATGCTCTAGTGCCGACTGATCGGTTCCGCCTGGCACCCCGTCTACGCAGACCAGGGTGCACTCCCCATGATCTACGCGGCTTTCGTCTCAACCACGTACCTTCTTCCCGCATCACAAGTTCCGGCGCCAAAGTATGCTGTGATATCCACCCGGTGGGGGAAGACGATGGTCGGGTACGGCGAGGTGGACAGTTGGGAGAAAGCAGATGCGGAAGGGCTGCCGAAGGGGATGGTGGACAGATGTGAGGTGGTGAGGAAGGAATGGAGGAGACGGGAAGGCTTGGAGTAGCTTTGGCGTTACAGATCAGCGTTACAGATCAGCGTTACAGATCACTGGATGCGACGTAGCTTCAGATGGAGATGTTGCCACTCGACAGTCGGCTCGGTCGCGGTCCAGCGATGATGAAAGAGGGGGCGCAAGTTAGTGGTTTGAGGATTGGTTGTCATGCGTATGGATGGACACGGGTGCCGGATACGAAGGATAGGAGCAGTGACACTGACGAGAAGAAGCCATGGGCGGAACCCTTGAGCAAGTGATTGAAGAACGTGCGTTACATTACACAGCATCCCTTCTGGCAGCCAGTGGCGGCTGAGCTGGGGCTGGCAGACGTGGAAGTCAACAGGACGTATACAGAGGTAGCTCCTGCATGCGATGCTGACGGACAGCAGGTGCCCGGTCGGACTGCACGTGGTAGCCTCGCTCTGCCGAACAGCAGCCGGGAGATGATGGGCCTTGGCATCACCCGACGAGATAGGAGAAAGGCACAGACACCACCACTACTACTGGACATCTTTCTGCTGCATTCAGCATCGCCCAGCATCGCCCCATCACCTGGCGGCCTCCAAACGTGTCGTCTACCTGCTGTACTGATCAATCTTCTACGCCCTGCGGCACTGCCGTCTGAGTGTCACAGTGGTGTTTCGGCTCTTAGCGACCTCATGACCGTTACGGGCTGAGACGAAGGGAGGGAGCCGATGGGAGTGTTGTTGTTGCCGGCGCCGGAGTGGGCTTCCTCTGCCCTCTGACAGTGTTGGTGGCTTCAGGCCAGGCTATAAGATGAAGGTATCATCGTGGTTTATCTTCAAGTCCTGCCGCCACTGTTCTTCACTCACAACCGCTGTCACAGGTCTAAACGACGACGAGACATACACCATGGTTTTCACACTCAAGTTCTTCTGGTCCAAGAAGGGTATGCCTTGACCTGTTCGCTATGCCTGGCCCCGCTGACGGCGCTTGGTACCGACAACAGCTTCCCCAGGCTCACCTGCCAAGTCATCCACCGCACATCAAGAGGTAGATAAGCCTCTCAGGCTCCGCGGGGGCTGTTCAAGCAGCATCGGCGTGAGTGAGACTCAAACCCGCCGCCGATGTTACTTCACTCTTCCACGGGACCCTTCTGATACTGACCTCGTGATGATCCCTCCTTCTCTATCTCACCCACGCATCTTCTTTCTCGTCCGCATGTTCACAGCACGAGTGAGTGATTCAAATCCCTCCCCGACCCTCTCCATCATAACACAGGAGACCTGAGCTAATGCAGCAATGCGCAATGGTTGTAGGAGCAGCAACAGGAAACGCAGTAGCGGTGCTGGGGGAAGCGGCTGCGGTGCCGGCGGTGGTGGGAGCGGAGGCGGTGACGGGGGAGGAGGTGGTTGTGGGAATGGCGGTGGGGACGGTGGTGGTGGGGGAGGCGGTTGCGGTGGCGGCGGTGGGGAGTAGCTAGCTCCCAGAGCGCCGTGTGGCTGGCTACCTGTTAGTGTGGTCATGTAAGTCTCAGTATCGCAGTCTGACAGGGATAAATGTTTGGGAGGCCTTGTGAGAGGAGAGGTGGCATCAGACGTGCTGACAATCTCAAGTGCTGCGTGCCACTCAACAATGCTCCCTCGTGTGTCGATACCCCAAGCAATGTCATTCACTCCCCCATGCTGCCACGACTATCATGCAATTCAACAAATGCAGCAGATGCGTGCCCATGCCGAGCTGAAGAGAAGAACCAGCACACGCTCCCACCGACGAAGGTCGTACGAGCTGCATAAATGAGTCGACGGAGTCTGCTCCTGGCATCTGCAAAGTGGGCTTCCCTTGCTTTTCTTTTCCACAATTAATAGACTGAACACTGCGAAGCGTGACTCTTCTGCCGGTTCCCACTCTTTGAAAAGCGTTTCTACCTGCTTCAGGCATTCCAGTTCTTCGCACAAGGTCTCTTCCGGACCGACAGGCAGGTGATACGTCAGATCGGCCTCTGGGTAGAGGTTGACCATCTGGCTATAATGATCCCACAGGTGCTCCAACCAGGTCAATGTGTGCCCCACTTTGGCCAATGTGTTGTTGATCTCGACGTCGAACACGGTGCGGACACCAGCCCTACAGAACGGTACTATCATGTCCAGGATTTCCCACTCGTGAGAGCAAGTGGACTGTAGGTTGTTGTCGAACAAACCCATGAGCACCCAGTCCTCGACTGACATGCTACAAACAGTCACCCACGTCAGCATGTTATCAGCCCTCTTAACATGCGACAAGAAGAGTCAATGCTCACCCGGTGATATTTATGTGGAACACGACAAAATGAATGGGGGTGTGGGGATGCAGAGACTTCTCTAAGAATCTGTGGATTTCTCCTCCCTTCACCCAAGGCGTGTCGACAGATGAGATGTCGATGCAGATTGACCTTGGCTTCAGAATATAACCGTTGTATCTGGTCCATACATCTCTCCTCTCCAATAGTGAAGTCCATTGAGTTCTGGTGAAAGGCTGAACGTGTCAGATCGTAGTCGTATGACTGGTGGTGAACGATTGTAGGCACCAGACAGATATGCTCGATGCCGGTCACGAGATGCGGTACCCTGCAAGAAAGCTGGGATACTTTACTGCAGATGAGGCGTACGTCGATCAAGCGCCGCGCTGCATCCATATCATTGATCTTCACAATCTGGATTCGACGAATGGCGTCTGTTTTTCGAAGATTGTTGAAAAGTATAGGGAAGAGGGAATCTGCGTACTCGTGGTAAATGAAAAGCTCTGTACATGGATCGGAAGAGTCTTCGCCATCCAAAGTAACCGTATTGTAAAGACGGGGGATACTCTCCTAGTAGAACGTCCGAGACAGCTTCAAAGCAGCCTCCGGCCACCCGGACAGCAATAATGCCTTCAGGACCCTATCCATGACAGGATACATCATGTCTGGTAGCATGCGTACAGATGTGTTTTTTGGTGTCTGCTGCTTCTTTCTCTTTGGTGGCCCCTTGCTGGATATGTTCTCAGGAGAAGCGGGGGACGGCCCAGGCAAAGTGATGCGATTCTCCCAGGGGAGCTGAAATGCGGTGGCGTATGACGGATCTCCGGGAGGTGCGCGGGTTGGAATGATGCGGAACATTGTCTCTGTCGGCTCATAGCGATAATACGCCGTCATTACCCCATTCAAGTGCTTTCTGGTTTCCCTTTTTCTCTGTCTCTTTCGTGC